CTATTTAATTAAATAAATACAATATAAATGTATATATTAATGTTATCGAAAATATCATTGACGTATTTTGATGTCTAATTTTAGTTTAAACGAGCAGCGTTTGTTTTCTATGCAGTCTCTTCTTTAAACATGCTTACGATCGACTTTTGAATCATGCCCTAGAATTCATTCACGGCATACATCCTCACATCAAAGAATCTGTTTTGCGCGCGTTGCACGTAAATACAGCGTGTCACGCGGAATGTTTGTTTCGTTTATCAAAAGAATTCTATTGTTCTTGGCCCAGGTCGCAGAAGAACGGACGACCGGAACTAGATATCAGCGCCGTAAGACAGATCGGTCGCTGCTCAGGCAAGTATTCTCGAAACCTCCCGAAGATTTATACCACGAAAGTACGTCACGCGAACGCGAGGCCTAAGCCACGAAACGCGCAGCGCATTTCCGGTGGTGCGATACGACGTAGCCAAATGCCTGTTCCATCAGACGACGACAACGACGACGACAACCACAGCGGAGGCGTATATAAGCCTCCGATGCTCGAGCGATACAAACTCACGAGAAAAAACGGGCGAGATACTAGGGGAGGAGACGGTGTTACATAAATCACTGAAACGGGAGAGCTACCGGAGGCATGGGGTTTTCGAATCGTAACAAAGTGGAAGATAGCCAGGCTCGAAGGCTAGGAGAATATGGCTACCATTTTTCCTCGGCTTCGACTGCTGAAAGCACACGTAACAGCGTAGGACAGTTTATGTCCGCGTGATACTGGCCTCCTCTTACCCTGGCGATCCCTCATCCTCCATCCCCTATTGCTTCTTCGCGCGTCGAAGATTTCGGCTTGTCACGCCTGGGGTCTTCGTACTCCCTTTCTCGTTTTTTCCCGCCGTATTTCTCATTCTCTCGCGTCCCGTTCCACGTTCTCTCATCGCTTCTTACATCGAGCTGCCACCTCGTACGCCTCCTTTTCGTGCCAACTCTAAAGCGATACGAATGGCCATCGGCATTACGTACATGAAAACGAAAAACTTTTTCGTTGCACGTACCGGCACGCCCGTCCACTTTTCTGTCCGGGCCTTTATCGATCGTGCCTCTTTGTGCGTGGACGCGCTTTCTCGCACTGTCCTGTGACTTCCTTCGTCCTTTTGTATTTTGTACACTGCCTGCTCCTCCATTGTCTGTCCTCGAGTCGTTATTTACGCGGACGTTGTCACGTACACTTATCATGACTACGTAAAGCGAATATTAAAAGCTAAAAAGAATGTGACTTAATATGATAAGCTTTAGCACTCCAAGTTAATTACGTATAAGTAAGAATGGAAAATCGTAAAATAAACTGAATGATATACGTTTTATTTAACTGAGCGTATTATTATACAAAGGAATGAAACGTCGCGCAGAACTAATTGACTTGCGAAAAGCATTACGTCCGGCTAATAAATGTAATTACGTTTTCACATTTATTTACTACGTATATTCTACTTATCCGTCTGGCGGAATGGATGACAATGACCTTAAAATGTCGCGGAGTTGCCTTGTCGCAAACCCTCTCTAATAAAATATACGATGCAATTTTGTTACGCTGAGAACCAGAGTACGTGTACTTTGAAATGCAGTACTTTAACGCCACGTTGTACATAACGTTGTATCATATTCCGTGGAGTAGCGCACGATGGGGTAATATCTTACCCCGAGTCCTTTGCCCCTCTAGGATAGCCCCGACCTCTCATAATGGAAATCTATCTTTCATCTATAATTATAATCGTGCGTTGGCGTGATGCATTTCGCGTTATCACGGATCACGACGCGATAACACGTGTATCGCGATAAGCATCAGTTACCAAACTACCACGGCTGAAACTAGATTCAAGGCTAGAAGCTCGTGAAACATAGAGCCGAGTGTCTTCACTTGAATACCTTCACGCTTCGTGACATCGAAAAGATTTTATCGCGATGAGAGCTTCCAAGTGATTACTAACGAGAACCGGGAATCCTCCAATTATACAATCGCAATTGATAGTTACGGCTGATAAGTTTGCCACCCTCGCGATGTTAACTCTCTAAACGCATTAGGATCTTTTCTCAAGCAAGTCATTTTTATAATGTCTCAAAATATATAGATGTATGAAATATTTCATACAATATAAAACTCAAAGAATATAATAAAAAAATTATGGATATTCGGATAAAATATTATATTAAATCCATGTAATATTATTTATATGTATTCATAAATTCTTTGGAGTGGAATTTCATTCTAAAAAGTAAAAATTGAATCAGTTTTGAAAAAGAGTTTGGTTTTCAATCTTTAATAGAGAGATTTCACTCTTTAAAATAACAATTCTTTAAAATAATAATTCTTTAAAACTTTAAAAAATTCTAAAACTTAAAAAAAAAGTTTTAGGGAATATTTTCTGTTGTAGTCTATTCATATAAAAGTTAATAGTTTATGTTGAGTAATATGAGAGAAATAGAAATTATAAAAGAAGCGTAAAGAAGACGAGTTTATATTCTAAATTAACGAAAAAGAAAAATATCTAGTATAGTCATTGAAACGTGGTGGGCAATATTGCAGACAACATGGCGGACGAATCACGGTCTTGAAAAATTAACCGGTCCCGGGTGTCGTACCCCTTTTGCGAGTGGGAGCGGCGCCTTGCTCTAATACAGATTTATTGCCACCTAAGAGCCGGAGCCAGGCGTTCTAATACAGGTATTATGCTGACGCAGGCACGAGGAATTTACACGAAATTGGAGGTAATTTGTAGGGGTCGAGCGCAAACCCCTTCTACCATTGCCATTGCCGTCGACCCCCCTTTCGGCCGCTACTACCCTACCCCACGTTACATCGTGCCGGACTTGTGTGTGGCTGTGTATCCCGAAACTCTCCGAGTAACGACTTGCTCGAAGGACGTAACTTTCTAGCAAGGGCTATCTACCTCGAAATATGCAGCCGCGTAGGCCGCTTTTTGATTTACGGAGTAGATCGTTAATTAAAACGTCACGGCTGATCGGTCGCGCGTATGGCGGTTTAATTAAAATTTTTTAATTGCCAAGCGTGCCTACGATAGGCGAACGATCGTATCGCGACGGTCTTCCAAAAAAGTAGTCTTGCTCTTTTTTTTTTTTTTTTAGCATCGCCGTTGTTTTTCATGACACCCTAACAATGGTATCGAAACACGAAACCGGTTATTATCGGAGATTGTGTCATGGTTTTCGGTGGGCGCAAAGAGCCTACCGTAAATTGTCGCGTATCGTTGACGAGATCGATCCGCTCGACACAGTTCGCTTCTGCGGTCTACGTGTTCTGGATAGGAAACTCGTTATTAATGATGAGAGCGCGAAGAGACTATATGCACTAATCGCGGATGATAATCCTTCAATTTCATCGGAGCGATCAATCTTAGTTTTTTTTACTTCGTTACCGATCACAGATGGATTATTATAAATTGATTAGAATGATTATCCTGTTTTTATTTTACAATGTTACTTCTTTCTGCATTTCTCAAGAAATATGAATAAAAATTTTGCGAGTTTTAATTATAACTACCGAACAAAGAATTATTATACAAGGCAAAAGATTACTATCGTGAGCGAGAAGAATAATAATGATGCTCATAAAATTAATTTGTCATTTTGCGCAAACGAATCAAAAGATTTTTAATCCTTTATCCTTTCATCATCCCATTCGTTTCTTGATAACAAAGTTTTACAACCGTGCTTTTGAGACCGCGTGTTATTTAAAATTTTAATACACCTAAGGCGCGGAACGCAAACGCCGTACTAGCTAGTGATTTTAATCTTGCTGTTGTAATAAGAAATAAAGTGAACCATGTAGCAGGTTCGCGCTAATGCCATTGCTCGAGAGACATTCTTTCGTGTCACGCGATTTACATTGCGAGGTTAAAAGAATTTCGATAATACAGTGTGATGCGAATGGCAATTACCTAATTTAATTCTAACGTGAGATGCGTGATATGTGTATATGTGTTGCATTATATCTTACAATCTGTTTTGAGAAGTAAACTATATAATTTTTTAATTAATTATAAAATGTGTAGAGAAAAATTATTTTATATTTTTAATTATTGTGTAAGTTTTTGTTTTTTATATTTTTTAAACAAATCGCTTCAAATGTACGTTCTGAATTTAATGAAAATATTGGGTTGCTACAAAAGTGCTACGAACTTCAAAATGTAACGCAACTGTAATTTCGTTAAAAATAAATGAAATTTAAATTAGAAAAAAGTTTTAAAATTTCTACTTTCGAAAGATCATGTCTTTTGAGTTTCTGTGAGTTTGATAACTTTTGCATATAGAAAACTACGAGCTGGACAAAATGGGAAATTTTCTTCTCACTTTGTGAGCCTGTGTATAAAAGTCATCACGTATCACGTGTATAAAAAAACTTATACAAATTTTCAATTATTTAATGTGAAAGCTTAATCTTTTCTCTATAAAATTGTTTTTTTTTTAAATATTTCTAAGATTTTTTTTAAAACTGCGTCATCGCGAATTAAATAAAAAGAGCATTTTAATTTTGATTGCTCGTATCTCCGTTAAAAATCATCGCAATTCAGAAAACAGATTTTTAAAGCTGAAATTTTGCTCTATTGAATGGTATAATTGCTAAATTTTTTTTTAAACATGTAGACATGATACAAATGAAGTAGCACTATGAACTTTTATTCTAACCCAATACAATTCAACTATTTTTAATAATATAACACAAAATAAAAAAGTATGATCAAAAGGTACGATAAAAAAGTATGATAAAATAAAAATTATATGAGAAAAAAGGATATAAAGTTATAAATTTCGATAGTATTTGTAATCATTGTAAAAAATAAAATGTACTCATATTTTCTATCGAAAAAATATAACAAGAGAATAATAGAAAATTGCTGTGACGATAAACAAACTCAATGATTACACTAGTCATATTGTTGAGAGAAATAGTCGACCCACTTGACAGCAGTTTCATGATACGATTGTTCTCTTACCTGGCATGTTTCGGTCCGAGGCTGGGATCGTACATAGAACTTGCCGAGATGTCTTCATCGGGGATTTCTCCGCTCTCCATGCCTAACGCCGTAGTGCATTGTCCTGAAAACAATTCACGACAAAATTAGACAAAATTTGATATCAATCTTCATTTCATTAATGTCGCGCATTAAGATGAAAACTTAGAGTGGAAAATGGTGACATGGTGAATAATAGATTATGTCATCATGTCACCTGCGAGGATTCAGCCGAATGACATCATTGAATAGTTAATTCTACACATTTGCATTTGCAGTCAAAGATTCTCGACGATTTTATTCTGGCATACCTAAGAATTTCATTTTCAACAATCTCGTCCGACGCTAACAGCACTATCGCAGAGATGTGCAAATTCTCCAACGAAATCCCTGGAAACGCCAGTCGCCACAAACATGCGACTTCGTATTCCGCTGGGTACACACGAGAAGCAATTTACAATCGTAGCGAGTACGCTCGTATTGCCTCTCTTTTCCGGTTTCTTTTTCTCCATGAGAGTTATCAGATATTTTCATGGTCACGAATAAAACGAAGTTATAGTGCAATAATGTAGAATATAGGTATCTAACTAATTCTCTACTTATTGTTAACTAATACGTTTATATTCACTCTTCCTTTATTTTACTATAACAAATGTTAGTAAAAACATAAAAAAATGAATCTCTTAAAACACCTTATTAGCATTTTGGTTCGATGTATAAGCGAAGATTCTTTCAATTTTTATTTCAATATCCATGAATCGGAAACGTTGAAGAGACGAGGGATATTCATGTAAAATAATGTAGAAACATTGTCGACTATTCGCGCAGAACGGCAATAAAACAATGCTTTCCGATATCTTTTTTCGCTGTTGTATAAAATGTCTGCGCGACGTCATTGCGAAAAATCGATAGCAGGAATATTAACTGGCAATGGCCAATGACAATGTCGGCATGTACGTATATGTCGGTATGTACGTGGAACATGATAAATTTTCGAATCTACGGGAGTCAGCCTGAACCAGTACATACCTCGCCGCCGCGCGCGTGCAACGTCGCTACGCTTAAACTACGGTACTGCAGTTACGGCGGAAAGTTTCAAAACTGCAGAATGCAGCGGACGTGGGATTAGCCCAGCCTCCGGAGCTACTACCGGCCGACCATGGTCTCCATGAGCCGGCATTACAGCGAACAAAACTTCGTTTGTGTTTGTAACTGTCCCCTACGTTTCACCTATCGTCCATTATACCGGTGAAACCTGGTCCAGCGGTAGCGCAACTAAAATCTGCGCTCAATACGTCGAAAGATGTCAAACGCGAGATTACTGCGTTCCTCGTTTATAAGTCTTCTATAGTAATAGTCACATCAATGAATAAATCTACATTTTTCTTACATGTATCAATTTTTCTTTTAATTCATTGTCAGAGGATTCAGAGAGATAGGGAAAAATTTACTCGAGCGTGCAAAATCAATAAACTGAAAATTTTATCTATTTCTGAATTGGTAATCTGATAAACACTCAATCAAGTGAACAGTAGCTAAACAATTCAATATTTATATTCAGCGTATATATATATATATACATATAATGCTCACAAATACAAAAAAAACTATATAAAAAATATATATTCATCATGATGTTGTCAATCACGAACAAAAATAAATGTGAGAATTCATTATTGCAAACACGCGATGAAATGACTGCTGGAGATTAAGAAGATAAATATTACAAAATTACATTTCGAAAAATGTTTGAAATACTGAGGATAGTTAATATATTGCACAAATGGCATATAATTCATTTAACGAGGTCCATTTAGCAGAAGTTCTTTCCATCATGTGTTTGCTGTTTTATTAAAAATTTTACAAATGGAAGTTATAACTTTTACAGTGCACTATCAACTGGCTTCTTCGCATTTTTTCATAAAAATGGCATGCTTTTCCTTTATTATCAGAATTTATTACATTTTCTCTTTATATTGCTCTTTTTAATTTAATAAAAAATTATTACACATTTAATGCTTGAAATTATTGATCCAGTTACTAATATATTTTTCATTAATTTGTCAGACTCTATGATATATCAAATTTAAAGACATTATTATTAAAATTATTTAGTTCTATCCATTATTTGAGACCACACATATTAATGTATATGTTAGAAAACATAGTCTAAATTTTGAAAAAAATTAATATCTTAGAATGAATTACTTACTAAAATGTAAAAATGTGAAAAATTTTTTTTAACATGGTTCCACTAAAATTCCTTCAAATTTGAAGGAATTAATATTGTGCGCTCGAATATGAAGAATATAATATTGATTGGGACTCAAATAAAATTCAATAATTAGATTTAGTTTCTAAAAGATTCGAGAGAAAATAAATTTGAGAAAGTTACCTTACATTTCTGCGGCGCACGTGTGTATGTATTTGTGTGTTTATGTGTATAAAATTATAATATTATCTAATAAACATTACAGTTCCTCTCTCTATTCAGGTTGCGCATCTCGATCGTATTTGCATCTAGTATTCGCCTTTATACTGGATCCATTAATGGTGTGTGTGTGTGTGTGTGTGTGTGTGTGTGTGTGTGTGTGTGTGTGTGATTGAAATGAACTATACTGTAATTTTCAAGCTAACCTGGATTTAGCGAGCCACATCGTTTGCATCCGATGTTTCGTGTCCGAAAATTATGCAGCAAATAAAATCCTCGTCGTAGTTAATCAACCGTTGCATTGTGTCTTTCCAACAAAACAGATGCGATACGAAGAGTATGAAATATCGATAGTATTATTTTAATAAAAGGATGATTTCTATTTACTGAATTTCGAGTAGAGTTAATATTTCCTCATTTGTTTGTAATATGTAAAATATTAATGATAATTTCAAAAGTACAATATCTTCGATGGGGCAATTTGTATATTTTTACATTTGTACGTGTACTTTGTACAAAAGCGTGTGACGCATCGTATACAATGTACATATACAATGATAACGGCTATGAACTCGAGCTTTAGTGTCATGCCCAAAGCAATAAGTCAAGCTGACATATTGGGATATCCTAGATGCGATGTGTTTTCACGCAGCGTGCAGGATAATGAACAATTTCAATGATTCGTGACATGATTGACAGTCCAATTCACCAGAAGCTCAAATGTATTCGATAATGATAGTCAATAATTAATAATTAATATTTATACGATATTATTAATTATTCCATTTAAATATTAATTATTAATTAACATATGGAAATTAAATTAGTTAAAGAAATAGATATACATGATGCTGGATAAAAGGCCCAAATAAATCTTTAAATAATGATCTAATAATAACGATCTAATAATAATTTAATACTTTATAAACATAAAATGTATGAAAGAAATAAAAAATGTTATATATAAATTTATAGCAATTTTTCTACAATACATAACTTTAAATTTCAAATTATTTTTATTTTGTAAATGACATAAAGCACAAAAGAAGATTCATGGATATCAATACGAGCAAAAATAAGCTAATGTGTTCTCTTTGTTTTAAAGTAAATACTTCCATTTAACGCAGCATCGTCTTCCAAGCAACAATTAATTTGCATAAAAATATAACGGATGAGCGGTAAACAACGAATCAGAAGCGTGGCACGCCAGAACGAATCGGCACAATAAACAGGTTTCTCGCTCGTCTGCATCTGAGCAGCTATTAGATAGTATTGTTAATTCATCGTGCGGCTGACATTTCATTTACGAGGGTACAATACCTCAGTGAGGCCAGGTGTATATACGAAGGGATGGTATTATTGCGTATGCGCTTCAGTGATGGAGAAAAAAAAATCATTACGCATCCTCGGTTCTTGTCATGACTTTTCCGTTTGCGCAACAAAAAGAACCGGCATCTTCTTGTCCACGAATTTCCTTATCAACATGTTGTATTTTGAATTTTTTGAACAATTTAGCAGTACAATAAAAAATAATATTATCGTTCACGGCGATCGTTCACGTTTTAATCATTGCCCTTATAAAAGTGTTTCATTGATGAAAAAAATACTGATAATTAAATGCGATTGTGAATAAAAAATATTAAAAAACAGAGTAAAACAAGAGAACGATAAGTAATAAAGCAATCTTTCAAGCAATTAAAACTGATGATGTTGTAATTAACTTATAAACACGTTGCCGGCGGCAGTCAGTTTATTATAGAGTTTGATTTACTTCATATTTCATCATACGATTAATTTTCTCTTCATTCTTATATAATTTTCAATAACACTGAGTTTGCAATAAGAATAGCGTGAATCCAATTAAACCGAAATTAATAAAACTAAAAATTTATTTATAAAATTATACTGAATATAACATTAAAAAAAATCTTGTTACACATTGACATTTTTATATTAAAGAAGTTTTAAGGATTACAAATTTGATGTAACTTTGAATAAATTAAATTTTAGTGAAAAATTGTTTTTGAAAAATTATAGATATTCGAGACACATACTCGTACTTGTTTTGAGGCTATAAGCATTTTAGTTCGGAGAAACTTCTTGTGGTTGTCTCCACGGGATTGCTTCGTATAAGATTTTCAATCGCAACCTCCTGACTTCGCGCGACGACAGTGCGCTCTGGGATAATGGAGAAGATTGTAAAGAGAGTGACGGAAGTTGAAAGAGGTCAAAAGAGTGTCAGCACTTTTCGGAAGTCATAAAACTTGGGTGTGTGACGCGTATGAGAGTTCGAATTCGACTTACCTAGATCTGTGCAGCGACAACGCGGCAGGGACAATAGGATGAAGATGGCGATCAGAAGTCCTCGAAGTGAAGTTGAATCGGCGCTGGGACCAAGGACTGGCATGTTACTAGTGACCTGGGCCGTCGGCACGCCGATAACTTGCTCCTCCTCATCACTAACTATCCGCTGTCCTGACCGCATCGGTCATCAAGCACGTTCCTGGCATCGTGATGGTCGCAAGGTGGTTACAGGCTCGTGTCGATGTCCTGAGCACAGAGTAATTCGTGTTAGTTGTCCGCAGACACCTCGGCAATGTCGTGGAGAATGATATAATGGAAGAGATAATATTTACAGACTTGAAACAAAAATAAACATTAACGGCCATGTCAAGCGTGACTTCCTTCACATATGTTCATTTAATGTAAGCATAGCAAACGATTGTGTCCCGTTTCATTGATAAATTTATCTTCGTGCAACGACTCTCTATGAAAACAGTGTCGGTTGCTATCGCGAAAATGTATTGTAGCTAGGACGCTACAATGGAATTAACTGCCAAGGTAAATTTACCGCCACGGAATAAAAGAAAGTAACTTTTGCCATTAAAAAGTGAATATATATATCTAGGAACATTTCTCGATTTAATCATTAAACGTACATTTCTTTAATTAAAAGAAAATTTGATTAAAATATATGTAACAATTACAAAATAAGGTACATATTTTTCGTGTGTTAGATTTGAAAGATTACGAATTAACATTTAATTAATAAAATAAAATGTAAAATAAAATGTGCACTTTGTATTCCTATCAATAAATTCAAATCGTTTTTCCGATGTAAGCTGACTGCCACTGGGACAATATAACAACCATATTTATGTAAATATCATCGCTGGAACTTTCATTTGTCGTGTAAAGCGGGACTCTTATCGCTCTGCTACGGAAGCGTAGACATTTGTTATCATTTTTGCAAATAGCACTCTCCACCCGCCCTCTCGTCCGTCTTCATTTTACGTCGCGCACAATCTGCACGATAAGAGGTCTATTTTGCACGACAAATCGGCCCCCTAAATATTGCGCTTGTGAAATAAAATCGCTTACAATCGTCCAACTGGCACTTAGTTAAAAAACGGTCGTTATATTCAAGATTAATCACGTACTGTGATATCAACGACTAACCCATGTCATCCTCGTACATAGAATATGCACCGGCTATATGGATCGTCGACGAATAGTGGAAACATTACTATGCCATGGGCCATGAAATTTTAATTGCGCGAGTGCTATTAGTAAACGCGATCGTTTTCAGCGAAGAGGTCGAGAGCGTCTACTACTACTGCTGCTGCTGCTGTTGCTGTTGCTGCAATTGTATCGTGCTCATATGTACCGCACAGGGATACAATATAAGTACGCGTGTTCCATATGCTGCAATTGCAACTGCAACACCGCACGGATTTCGCGTCACGCCTCATGCATTATTCACACCTCGCCGGAGGTGAAATTATTTTTCCCCCTAGCGTTAGTATTATTAATTTTAGGCGGTAATCCAATGTGAAACTCCAAACCGGGAAATAACCACCTTGACGCCCGATGCGTTTGAGTGCATTCACACAATCACAACAAAAACATTCGCGTTTCTGAATCGAGATCATCATCGTCATTTCTTCGAAGTTATAATAGCACAATGCTCGACTGTCGAATTTCTTAAGAGATATAATAAAGAAATGATTTTTTAACATTTAAATATGTTACAACTATGTAATTGTAGAACTATGTTACTGTATAAAAAAACATAATTTAATTGTATTATGCTGCTGTTAAGTAATTTCTTGCTTTAGAAAAATACGTTATAAAATAAAATTGTAAGTAATATACTGGCATGTTCCGACTGCATAACAACTCCGTATGCTCTACCACGTTTAAGATATAGGCACAGAATACGAACGAGGCCCTAAAGCCGTCAGAAACAAGTGTTGCGCTCGGTATTGAAGTTGTAAGATACGGCAATACATGCACCAAAACCTATAATGGAACTCCAGATAGGTCGCTTTGAATACTCGATGGAGCTCGAGAAAGCTATCGGTACGTTGTACCTTTCAGCAAAACCGAGCAAAACTCAACGAGTACACGTATTATGTGAAACGAGTAAAGCACTGACTGAAGTTACACGAGTAAGCAAGATAATAGAAACCTTATACCGGAGATGACTCAATGTTGAAAAACGAGCAGCCTCTCGACACGTGGGGTCATTAATGCTTTTCGCGTACAATGCTTTTTTCAAGATAAGGTATACATATCCACGGTCACTGAGCCCTTGTCGAGCACCCACCATCGAAGGGACATGCCTCGCTTCACTAATTATTTATAATTATCGATCACTAACGAGCAGTGTCCAGGAGAGATCGCATTACGTTCGCCCTGCAGCCACAGCATCGCAGTAACGTCTACTCTGCCTTTTCGCTCGTGGAGCTATTATGGCATGGTTGCATGATTTTATAAAATTCGTCTAAGGGGAGAAATAAAGAGAATTAGAAAGATGGACAACCATGTACGGGGCGTATTTATGATCAATCACGTCTGTATGACATAAGTAACATGGAACATTCTCGACGTATTATGCGAATGTTACGATGAAGTTGAGATTCATTCGCGGAGGAAAATTATATCTGGTACTAAAGTTTCGTCTCGGATTATAGCTGGTAATGTATACGACATGACCTGTATAGCGATATCATGATAATTTACATTTTAAATATCTTCTTAATAAGCGGACTAAATTGGAGATAGAATATCTCTCTTTAAATACTTACACTCCGAGTTTCAACTTCTTGAAATCAGTACACTGAATCGCGATGCAAAAATATAAATTATATTTTATAAATCATCATGAATACTGAATTTATTAGATTATTTACGTCTACAAAATTTTCTTTAAAATTACGATACAGTTAAGCGAAGCATTAATGTGTATATTTTGGCAGCATATTTCGGTGCGTAAGAAGACTGCAATCTGTTAAAAAGTGCGTGAAATCGGTTAACAAGTAAGTATCAAAGGTAGCTACTCAATTGAAACAGTAGCTTGTTTACTTGTTTCCACTACGCGGGCGTGATAAACGTTTCACGTGCAGCAGTTAAAGCCCTAAAAATTCCTGCTTCATAGGTCACTACCTTGGTCCCTTTTCTTGTAACGGGCGAGCCACAGTGGCTGAAGGAAAGAATGTGTGTGTGTGTGTGAGAGAGAGAGAGAGAGAGAGAGAGAGAGAGAGAGAGAGAGAGAGATTGAGCGAGGGTTGGGATCTGCGAAGTGGAGGAGAGAGCTCTGGGTCTTTTGTGTGCATTCGATAGCCCGTGCAAAACAAACAAGCCTACGAGACACAAAACAGGATCCACGATGCAGACGCGAGTCCCGCTTGTCCAATGGACGTTCCTCCTTTTCTTCACAGAATACCGAACACCGTCATTACCTCGTATATATACGAATAGCTCCACGCTTCTCCTTCGCTGAGTGAAAGAGGGAAACGACGATGGGGAAACACGAGAGGGAGTACGGGAGAACGGGGTAAACGGTAGGATTTTGCGATGCAAATTTCATTCCGCTCTCTTCTCTTCAGCTCCGTTTCTGCCCGACCTTCCTAGTCAGCCCTTTCCACCTATCTCCGTTCTTTTATTTCCCACCCCTAGTTTTCTTTATCTACGACCGCCTGTGTCCCTCTTTTTAAAATCACCTCGCGGGAGTCCTCTCTCGTGTCGTCGAGCACCCCGACAGAATTATCGCGATCGCCTCGCTCGGACGGACACGCTTTTTCGCGGTTCGTCGCGATTTTCACGAGGGAAAAGCTCAGCAAGCCGATGTCGAGGAGGATAGCCTAGAGGACTTGTCGTGGATACGGCGGTTGGAACTGGAAAGAGGTGACGGTGCTGAAAGAAACGGAGATGGAGAAGCGTCGGCGGAATTAATTAATTCTGACGGGCTGCTATCTACCCGTCTTTTTGAACGACAACGCGTCGTCACGTCCGTCTTCATCGAGGGAAGATGTTCCCGTCTCTGGGACGGAGAAGAGCCATCATCACGATTTGATACATTAATTTCAACCGAACAATTGTCAATTCAATAAAAATAATTAAAAATGACGAGCGGAACGATGCCTTTTTGAAGTTCCAGCTATAGCTTCAAGAGGAAACATAAATAGAACAGTCTCGTCTGGAGATTGGAAGTAAAGTTTCTGGAGATTGGAAGTAAACTCATCTGCACGATTACTATAAAGTAATTCATCAATCCTGTGCAACGTACATTTCGTAAGAAGCTTAGTTGACTGAAGTGTCGATGTATTATATATCTCCTGCATCTTGCAAGATAGCAAAACATTCCTCTATGACTTTTACTTTCGTAGTTTGAAACTAATTTGAAAGTGTCTAACTCATAACATCTTTTTATCTACTTTTCGTATCAATATTGACCGTTATCCTTGTCAATTTTCTAATTTGCAGACTTTCATAAAAATTGTGATGAAAAATATAAAAACGTTAATTATCTTCCACAAACTTTTAATAAATATAAAAAATGTTTAAGAAATAAAATTATTATTTTATTAATGTAGAACAAACATTATTCTATATCCATGAAAAATTACTTAGATTTTTTATAGGTTTTTTCCATAAACGCCACATTACTCATCTTAACTTTATTTATCATAATAAGTAGCTACACGAATTAATGTAATCCTCGTTAACGACCGCAGAAACGACGCCAGACATTAAACTCATTGCTCTTAGGGGTCGCAGCTAATCCAGTATGGATTAGTTGCGAGAGAAAAAGAGCGGATAAGGAACACCGGACAGGCTTTTCTCAAGAGAGAAGAAAGCGTACGGAAAAGAAAAAGTGTATGAAATTTAAAAGTCCGCCGAGTCGCTCGTCGTTAAGCAAGGGTTTAGCGATTCTTCCAAGAGGATAAGAAGTGTATATAGGTGCGATGGATAAACGTATACTGGGATATGCTTACGTCGCTCCGCAAAATCTAGCTTCTCCGATAATGCAAGCATCGTTGCTCGTCTCAATGAAGACGATTCAGGTGAGGCTTCGCTTGGAATTATTCGGTTTGTACCAATTTCGAGCCCATCTCGTTTTCCCTCCGCATTCTCCTACTACTACCACTTATGCCGCTACCACTTCTACTTTTATTCCAGTCACTACCCCTACCTATCCGTCGCTCTGAGCCAGTTCCTACGTAACTGAACAATCATACCGTCTCCTCAGGAGGAACCGAAGGATT